CTGCTCAGACCTGTTTCTGGATACCCAGGGGAAACATTTGTATATGACAAGGTAGATCTGGGATAGAGAAAAAAGGAAGGCAAAAGCCACACCGCTGAGGTGGTAATGCAGAACACAGCCCTAACAAAGAGAAGACTCACATGCAGCTCACCTAGATCAGGGCATTGGTGTGTTCAGACAATGTGTGTCCAATAGTGCCCTGATGCCTATGTGATGGCAGAATTTATCAGCACCATACTCTCCCGAGTGAGCCACGGGCCGGCCCGTGATGGCAGAATTTATAATCAGCTAGTAATTTTCTTGTTTGGGAAATTAGTGGCATGTAAATGTTCTGTGATGTTGTCTTTTGGCATACAGAATTTCCGAACAATGCTTCTTTATCAACTGAATGCTTATATAATGTCAGCTTCTTTCAGAGCAGTAATGAGTTGGGCCAATGTCAAGTGAGGGGTTAGACTTTCTTCAAGGTCCTCATGGCTCTGAGAGTCTACGGTGTGATATTGTGAGGCTGCAGTTTTCTTTCTGGTTGCTGGTATACTGCCCTACAAACAGGCTAAGCAGGCATTTTTTTTTTCTTTTTTTTGCGGCTGGTCAGTACAGGGATTCTAATCTGTGACCTTGGCTGCACTGTAACTAACTGAGCTAACTGGCCAGCCCCTAAGGAGGCCTTTAACATCATTAAAGAGGGCTGGCTGGTGGCTCACTTGGAAGAGCCTGGAATTGATAACACCAGGAACAAGAGTTCAGATCCCCATATAGGCCAGCTGCCAAAAAAACAACCCCCCCCCAAAAAAAAGAAAGAAAAAGAAAAAAGAAATTGTAAAGTCATTAGAGTTTATGTGCTATATTCTATTGCTTATATCACTCTTAAATCAAACCTCTTAGGTCCTTGGAGGTTTTGTATCATTTCTAGAAGTTTTTAAGTTTCTGTGCTCTCCATCAAGAATGCCTTGGTTTGCCCTTTTCAAATTCTGGAAAGAAAATAGAATTACATTAAATAGGAGAATGTCTCATTTTCGTCTTTGAATCTATCTTTTGCTTTTTCAGAAAAGGGTGAGTTGGTTAAAGTGGCTGATTGGGAGCTGGGAGGTGGCTAGCACTCTGGAGGGGGCTGTGAGAGTTCAGCCCCCAAGCCGCTCCTCTGAGTCTGCAGCAGGACGGGAATATACCTACCACAGCAATACTCCTACACAATAGCAGTGGGAGTCTTCATGGAGCTACTTACAAGTGAAGCCATCACAGGTACCTTGTTCAGTTTTGTAGTCTGTCGTCTTCATGCACGTGCTTCAGCTGCCTGCTCTGTCCTGCTTTCATGAACTCTCAAAGTCCTTTTCTTCCAGGGGTCTAAACTGAGCTCAGTCACCCTGGCCTTCTGGAGAAACCACTTTCCCTACTGGCTCCTAGTTTGACAAGAATTGTAATACAATGGGGAAGAGTTAAGCTTCAGAAACAGACTGACTGGGTTTGAATCCCACTTCTACTACTTTCTGCTTATATGACCTTCTACCACTTTCTAGCTCTATTGGCCATTGCCCAATTCCCTTAATCCTTCTGTGCCTCATTTTCCTTATCTGAAAAATGGGAATGATAATACAATCCATCTCATAGGGTTGTTGTGAGGATTAAGTGTAAACTGTTGATCATAGTGCCTGGCAAATTTTTATTATTATTGACTATGAGTTCCTCCCCAAACCTGACTTAGTCCTTGGTACTCAATAAATCCTTGTTAAATATATACATCTAAACTACTTTCCTTCTTCCCTTATGATTTCCTTCGATAATCCCCTCCCCAATTTTCTATATTTTTTCTCACTGAAGAGGACTCTTCAGGGATATCTCCAGCAAGTCTTTTTTTTTTTTGGTCTTTTTTGTGACCGGTAAGGGGATCGCAACCCTTGGCTTAAATCCTTGTTAAATATATACATCTAAACTACTTTCCTTCTTCCCTTATGATTTCCTTCGATAATCCCATCCCCAATTTTCTATATTTTTTCTCACTGAAGAGGCCTCTTCAGGGATATCTCCAGCAAGTCTTTTTTTTTTTGGTCTTTTTTGTGACCGGTAAGGGGATCGCAACCCTTGGCTTGGTGTCGCCCACATCGCGCTCAGCCAGTGAGCGCACCGGCCATCCCTATATAGGATCCAGACCCGTGGCGGGAGCGCCACTGCGCTCCCAGCGCCGCACTCTCCCGAGTGCACCACGGGGTCGGCCCTCCAGCAAGTCTTTAAATCTCAATCAGACACACCACCTACTTACTAGCTTCAATCCATACAAGACTACTTCAAAAAAATCCATGGAAAGATTCATATTGTCTTTTAATTCTATTTTTCCACAAAAATTTAAAAGTACTTTGTACAGGCAGAGAGCATAAATGACAACATATAGCATATACCATACATTCTGGTCATTATTAGGGGGCATGGGTGATCTGCTTCTTCTGTTTGGAAATTAGAGCAACGCTCCATTTTCTAGGTCCTCCCCAGAATCGTCTAACCGTTGAGAGGTTTTTGACACCCTTGAGAGACTGGCAAAAGTTGTGGTACTTGATACTCAAATAATCTCTGAGTGAAGGACACTCCGTCAGTGTATGGTCACAAGTGAAATGGGTCCAGTGTCTCTCCTGCAGCCTCCAGAGTGAGAGATTTTTTTTCTTTGCTTTACCAGCCGGCTAAGGTTTCTGTTGAGTGCACCCAGTGAGATGGTACAACTGGGGCCCTGGGGCCCAGCACCAAAGTTATGGTCCCTGCTTGAGGCAGGTGAGGGCCATGAAGTGGTAAGAGAGGCTGGCCATACCCCATCATTTATTATCTGGGATTGAATGAGCCCAACTGATGAAAGGATTTAACCAGTGCAAGAAGCCGAGGTCCACTTCATCCTTTTCCTTATTTGCTAGTAAAGGAGTCAATTAGTGTTAATTGTGTTGGCAATTTGGAACAGCCACCAAGGAATCAATCCAAGACCACTGTGGGATGACCCCCTCGGTCTCATCCTAGTCTCAGCCATTACTCATGGTCAGATGGGGAAGCAGAGTGTTAGGAAATGTCCTTTGGTAAGAGTAAACATGTATTCTCACACATTTACAGTGCCCTGGATGTCAGTTTTTAATATTGTACATGACCTGACAGTACAGATCTGCATGGAAGAGAGATGTAGATTTGGATGAATCAGGCCTGGACTAAGGAATACATTTTAACATCTTACCTCCTCCCTGCTAGCCTGCCAAAGACCATGTTGTTATTGACAGCCCAATTTCCTACCCCTCCACGCCCACCTAGAGCAGCTAAGTCAATCTTCTTAATAAAGGGAGGGGGAGAAAGAGAAGGGGGAAACCTGGGAGCTAGTGGGGGGCTCTGGAGGGTGTGGAATGCCAGATAATCGAGAAGAAAAAATGATATGAGTGTTACTGCTGGAATTATGAATTTGGTCACTTTTAATGTCCCTGGAGAGTCAGCGGTAAGGATGGAATTTTTATTTTCTTATTTATTTTGCCTAACTGTCCTTAAACACGAGATGGCTCACTGTACAATGTGCACTGCTTCATCGGGGTTATACAAGCAACAGAAATAGTTGCAGGTACTCTGACAGACATCGAGCCATACAATTGTTAAGAGACGGGGATGGTAGGACGGAAAATGACGTACCTCTCTGGTCCTCACCCACCCAATGACTGGAATGAGTGTTTGGGCTGGATTCCCCTCCCTTGAACACGCAAATCCTAGTTTCCCTTCTCCCCTATTTTCGGTGACAATTAGATTGTACAGCGTGAGCTGGATTTTGTAAGAGGAAGGAATTTTACTGAAGTATTCCCCCGCCTTGTTACCAACTTGGTTACAGTTGCTTAAATACTGTAGCTATTCCTGCCTTTGTGGCCTCAAGGGCTAAAGTGGGACAAGGCTTGTATTTCTGGTGATGAGGAAATATTTTTGTTTTAAGGGAGGTTGTGGTGACTGTTGAACTGGGACAGAGGACACGGTAGGGGTCACACTGGCGACTCCAGGGGCGCTGGGGGGGGGTTGGCTTTGGGTCGGCGTCAGGCACCCCTGCCTCGGGCACCGCTGCGCAGGCTTCGAAGTTGCTGGAGCACTTGAGTCCCACTGCCTGCTCCCCAGAGGGGGGCACCCGGGAGCCCGCGCCTAAGGAACCGGGGCCCACGCGGGAAGGTCGAGCTCTCTGGTGAGGTCACGGTTGCCATGGCTCTGGGCAGTGACGCGCGTCGGCACGTGACGAGCGGTTGCCATGGCGCCGGGCGCTCGGCGGCGCGGGCGCTCCGCCTCCCGGAGTGACGTCCGTCGGGCCCCCCCTGCTTTTCCCGCCCCCCTTACCCCCTCCCCCCCCAGCCGGCT